AACAATTATGGCGATCACAAACTCTCTATCGTTCAAACATGTCATTTTACGCAACAACTCATACTACACTCTTTTATCATACTCTCTGGCAACTGGCATATAAACACCCTAATTATAAATCTTCCTTGCAATTTTGTGTCAAAATATTATCAAGAGGTAAAATCTCAAAAGAGTGTGCTCTTTGTAATAAACAAACATTTGACTATGATTTCCATATGCTTCTCCACTGTGAAAACTTAATACAAAAACGAAATGATTTCTTTGCATACTTAATTGATAAACTTGATGTTGAAACTTACGTAATATTTGAAATGAAAGGTGAACAAGATATGTTGTCATTTCTCTTCGGAGCAGAAAACGACTTTTATAGCTCTATAGATTCAACACTATGGGAAACCATACTGTTACGCTTTTCTTTGTATGTATAGGGTGACCTGAAACCTCACCTTGTGAACTGTTACACAGAATGATTCTCTTCATGTCATAAATTTCTGTACATATTGTGATGGCCATCACGAAGATTTAGATAATACTCCTGCATTTTAATTGCAAAATTCATAAGTTATAAAAGCTTGTAAATGATTAGGCATCATGACATATCTGTTAGGTATTTCCCATCTGTATTTTTGATAGTTTATGGCAGTGCAGAAATTGTTATTATAATTATCGTGTAATTAGTTTTGCAGCTATATACGAGTATTATTGGCAACCTCGTTTTCACGTAATTCAGTGTTTTGAAATCTGTTTTGGTAAGAAATCTAGCAAAAGATCGTAGCATGTTGTTTTGAGCATTATAACATGTATTGCATTCGTAAAACATCATAAGCTAGTGCCATCACATTACGCTATTTGTTTAGAACACAGTTGTACTTTGTAAGAGTCAATGTCAACAACGTCGCCTGTCAGAACGATCTTGTTTACCTTTTCAAGAGTTTTTGAATTGACCGTAACTTTTTGACATTTCCTCGCTCTAAGCGTCCAGTTACGAAAACTAACTATCAGATATGGATTAATCTTACCTTGTCCTTCGACAAACTGATCATAATCCCTTGACACTCGTTAATTATCCATTCTTTGGTGAATTTGTGATCAGGGCCGAGCTACATGTTTTGGTGACGCCCGCCATTTTAACTTTGTGACAGCCAGTCTATTTCGCAACGGGGTTACCGCTACTTTTGACTCAGATTAGTGTTTTGCATTGTAAAGTTTATGTAATCTTGTGAATTACGTACAGAGGAACCCAGAATTGTACTTGATGATGTATCAGGTCATGTTTCAAAGCCGATGTTAATTCTGACAACGGGAACTATGTGATTCTCACTGTTGTATTCATACGCGATGTTCAGCATCATTATTTATGAACGTGTTTTTCATAAATATGACTTCCAGTGCCACTGTCAAATTGTATAAGGGGCTGAGTCATGTTTTTAAACATCTTATGTGTCAGATAAACTCCAATTGCCTCCTGACATCTGTAATCTTCCTCTTTGAATTGTCCATCATAATTCCCAGCCGATGCTGCTTGTTGATATTACGTCCCCCTCAGCAGGCAGCAAGGACGTAGCAAGACGTAGAGAGACGCAATTGTTGATCTTATGATATTGGAAGGCATTTAATGAATTAAATACACATAATTAATTGGTTGGTAAAAAATAGTCATTTTCCTACCTGATTACCTCCTGAGATAATTCGCCTTCCTCTTTATTTCAGTGGTTTCATGTTGTGAAAGTAGATCCCTCAAAAGAATAAGGACGTAACGGGACGTAATATCTCGTAATTTGATTGGTCTAGAACTGACATGTGACCATTTTCTCACACCTATAAATACGGTGAGACCCATGTTGGGTCATTCTGACTTTGGCAGTCTACAGGTCAGTTTCAAACCAAGGGCAGATAATTCAGCCCAAAAGTTCCCCTTGTCCTTACATAATTATAATAGCTGATGCTATAGATAGACTGCACTTTTCGAACACAGACACAAATTAATATCTTAGTAACTATCAAGTTATTCAGATTACCCAGATAATTAAGCCATCACTATATCTATATAACAGTAAAGTCAAAGGTCATACTTATATTGCCCTAACACTGGTCCATGCACATAAACCTTAAGCTTGAGAGGGATCTACTTATTAGAAAGAGCATTGTGCTGAAGTACATTTAAACCTGACAAGGTTTATGAATGAGTCCCGGCCGCCACAAAAGCTATTTATTCATTGTAAAAGAAGTGTTTGACTCTTCCTGAAAACACCAGACTGACAAGGTTTATTATGAAGTTTGAGTCCCGGCCGCCACAATTGTAACCTTGATCGAACAACTTCTCAGCAAGAGTGGTATGACGCTCTTTGAAATCTTGGTAAACAGACCATGCTCGATTGTACCTCATAATTTGTGAAACACTAAAGGCTGGAGATGTTGGAATATTGCTCGACATAAAAGGAAAGTTGAAATCATCCCTTTTGCCATACAGCCTTGTTGAGAGATTTTTGTCACTCTAAATCTTTATGCAACGATCTAAATATGAAACAGTTGATGTCTTCTTCATTTCAAATTCAGGTGGGTAAATCGATGGTAGGGAACTGGCTATTTGATGGTTATTGAACGACATTAGATCATCGATACACCTGAAGCTTAAGTTAATTAAACTTCTTGGGCAAATAACCTTGTTTTGATTTTGCCAAGCAGAAATTCTGATTTAAATACATAAAGAATCAAGGCGGGGAACACAATTGGTGTCCATTGGGGTGCTTACTTCTTGTCGAAATGTTTTACCCCCAAATTTTACAAAGATGTTATCAGTGAGAAGGTCCAGCATTTCACATATTGTTTTCTCGGTAATCTTCCAATGACATTTGCTTACATTATTGACAAATTGACCTGATCCTCTGAAGATAGATATGTAGCTATATATTTTCGTCTCTTTCATTTATAAATGCCCGACGAATCAAGGAATGCAGTTTTTCCTTCAGTTTGTCATGTGGAATAGTGGTAAAACAATCAAATGTTTTGACAGAACGGATTTCGGCCGTTTCTGAGGTTGTAAAAATGTAAGCAAATCCTTTAAGTTTATGAGAATCCACATGTATTAATTCGACTTGTCTCAGATACTTTCTGTGGATATGGAGAAAGTCCTTCCTTCATAGCATGAAGGGTTGTTGGTAATCTTTGAGACAGGGATTTGGTGGTACATTTGCTGGATCCAGCAATATAGCTCCCTTTGTGCAGATTGTTATGTGTATATATGCCTATGTGTATTTTTATGCTTATGTATGCCCCGTAATCTACATTTTGTTCATCACTTGCTTGATCATGGTTTTAGAACCATCACCAGAACGTCGCTATCACTGTAATAAAGAAGTTGTTCATCCTTCAGGTCCTCCTTTAAGAATAATACGATAAAGACTGTTTTCCTCTTGTTGTCTCTTTCTGATCTTTTACTCTGCGTGATCGTTTGTTTGTTAAACACCGCACTCAGCAATATGACAGTGATCAGTAGATAATATAGTCTGGAGCAGACAATCCAGCGATCTACAGCATGAGCATCGGTCGACTCAATTAGGATACAATGATATGTGTCACCCAAGTCAGCGAGCCATGCCACCAGATCCCGTTGGGTGCCTCTCACGACAAGCATGGGGTGCTGAAGACCACTTCTTACGTGAAACACCTTGTACAAATTCGTAATATTCTAGTAATATTCAACATAAGAGTTGTCCTTTTCTCCAGCTAAACATCAAAACGTGAAAATTATCAATGTTCAAATTGCAAATTGCACTATTCTATATCAGACCGTCTGGAACGGGAATTCTGATAATATGGTAGCGACTTTCCAAAGGCCGCAAGAGAGCGAATCTGCCACTTAGGGGCGGAACGTTGTAATGCCACTTCCGAAACCGAAAGCAGGAGATGTCGAATTCAATGTCGCTGTTGATTTACATATCAAACGCAATGATTTGTAGTCAGAGGCTCTTTTATATACCCTTGGGGGTGTCATACAAGGACGAAGTAGCCTATTGACGTAAGTCATCTGTTCAATTAATTACGTATAACTTCCATTCCACAGTGAACGCCATACAGAATTATCACAATTATATATTGAGAAAAATGGCATACATTATAATTCGACCGCTCCCATTTTTACTGTTAGGTATAGAAGGTGACAATCTTTACATGAAAATCACAGTATCTATATGTCTGTAAGTATATATAATTTAATCCCTAATTTCATACTGTGGTCCTGCCTTACTTTGTCAGTTCTAATAGGTTTGTCATCTACCCACATCACTGTTTCCTGGACAAGTCAAGACATTTACGAATATCGCGCAAAACATTGTGCAATAAATAACATAGGGGTAATGATTGGGGTTAATGTAAAGTTGTAATTAACGGGCGCAGTTACTGACATTGTGAAAGATGGTATATAATTCCCAGAGGTTTACAGATAGAGATACTTGCTGGTAAAATTGGCATACAATTATATGACTGAATCAGACCTTCCCATTCCCACAGGGTAGAGGAATCGTGGTTAATTGAACCCATGTCAGCTACTCTGGGTCTCTTGGTTAACGTCATTAACGTCATTACCGTGGATACCGCTATGCCGCGTGAGTAGAATCTTGACATCATTTCACCAAGATTCCCTACGACAAAGCTTTAGACTTGCTTTTGTTCAAATAAATGTGTCCGGAACACTTGGAAAAAAGCGTCATTGACATATTCTATCCTTTACGTCTTACTTCCACTTTTATTTGATCTGTCATGTTCAAAACAGGCATTCGGTGAATCATTCAATGCGGTTTCAATTATTCTTAAATGCAGATTCATTGTGTCCAAACGAATCCTTATCGCACCTTATAAAATGTTTGTGGTTGCCTGTAAATATATTTGTGCATGAGACTCTGGCGTTGGTTTGGCTTTGGTGTGTTGTTTTACGCCGCACCCAGCAATATACCGGCTAAGTGGCAGCGGCCTGTAAATTATCAAGTCTGGAACAGACATTCCAGTGATCAACATCATGAGCATCAATCTATGCAATTGGGATACGGTGACGTGTCAACCAAGTCAGTAATGGTTTGGCAATATATAGATAGTTTTGAAAATAGGTCATTATTTCATTCCGGACATACGCCAATGCTTCTGTTGTTATTGCATTCAATGTGATGTGACGTGCATATATGATATACATGAATTCCGATTTAATTCTTCTTAATTTGATCTTTGCCTTCACATTCTCATGTACCTGGCATGTCTCCCAGGAAGTCATGTAGACTACTTTAACACGTGTTATGTATCCTCATTTCTATACTGTGCCCTGCCATTCTACGTTTAATAGTTTTAACATTGCAATGTTTTATGTCAGACACTCCTCATAACGGTGAGAATATCTTCTGTTCATGATGGCAAACAGCGTCTAGTTGTAGGAAGCGTGGATCGTCTTCTCCAGAGAGCTGCAGGAGAAATACCCGTGTTAAGTGTTAAACAGTAACCAAAATATGAATAGAAGGAAGGAAGGAAGGAAGGAAGGAAGGAACGTACGAACGAACGAACAGACTAACTGCGTGCTTGAAGCGTTTGTTTGTCAGTTGACGGTCCGACTCGAGACACAAAGTATGAAGCCCCTTTTTGGCATTTTTGGCATTGGGCTGACAATCGCATGAAGTGTTTTCATAATAGTTACATTAATTTGTACAATGACAGGCATTTTTGACATTGCTGAAATGTTGCGCTTACAGTCGCATGACAAATGTCAAGTATTTGTATAATAATTAGATTATGTTGTGTAATGATTCAACATTCCTCTTCTATTTCATTATATCGGACATATGTTTTCGACGAATGTTATATGTCGGATCATGTGAAAGGTAGTGTCATGACGTTCCTCACTATGTTAGCCTGAGGCATATTACCATAAGCCGAAGTTAATGATATCATAAGGGACACTCCATGAAAGTAATAATGATGATAAGACTACATGCCTTTTGAGGATTTATTTTGCACATTGAATGGGACTGCCTGTTTTTAAATGATTTTTTTATGATTGTGAAATCTACTTTCAAGTCATGTCCAATGTATGGGTCGAACAAACAAATACTAAATTTGAATTGTTGGGCATGTCTAATGTTAAATGTATATCTGACGTCTCTTTTAATCCTTCTGAACAATGCCACATCAAATGTATGTATGAAATGGTGATATCTCATATTCGACTATGTAAAGAACAATTTGTATTCTTTCAAAAGTGTGCTTTATAACCAGCCAAACTTATTATCAAAGAAACTAAATTTTGGCTTTTCATACTCACCAAAAACAAATTCTGGTGTGGAATCATAGTCAAACATTTCAAATTCAGGGTCAAAGAATGTCCTTAACTTGACCTTAGCTTTATAAGTAAGGGTCCCATAAGCCTCCCTAAGAGCCAATTGTTTTCCTTTTGATAACATGTTAGGATCAGACCTAGAATGAGCTTTTAGGGCTAATTCATAGAATTGTGTGTATGTTATGTCATTCCGTTTCGCCTCTGTTGGAAAAGGAATCTCCATTGAAATCATTCCACGTATTTGCCATCTCTTCCATGTGGCACGGAGACCTTGGGGCATGGTCACTCCACATTCTTCCATGCCTTTCCGCCTGATTTCGAATAAGTTGCGTGTATTTCTGTAGAATATTCCGTCCGCACCGTGAAAGCCCTCTTTTATTATAACCTCTCTTGTAGAATTGTGTTCCATCATACCTAAAGCATCAGCTACATAAACCATATCGTCAACGAAAGTTTCCATTTTGCCAATGTAGTCATATCCAGAGTCACAGAATGCACATTGTTTGTGTATTGGAACAAAATGCTTATCATTTAGTATATGTCGATCGTTTTGATAAAGAATATAGTCCACAAATTCTGCAAATGTAATGTCAGTGCCACAAGTAGTATTCACCGGTAGAGTTCTGTTCTTGTAGCGAATTACCTGCAAGGAACGATATCCTGTCCGTTTCCAATAATACGGATTGACAGAAAATATTTTATCCACATATCCAGACAACAACCGTGTATAAGGGTTTCTAACAAGTGTATATTTTATAGTCGATCTATACAATTTCTGTGGTAAAAGGGTGGATTTCACAAACACAGTCTTGTTCAAACTAATGTCAGGAATTCCGTTATATGTGGCAAGCATTCGCATCCAAAACATGGATGCAACTTTCGGTGTGGTGCATAATGAAACTCGTTTATGGACGTTGGTCTTTGAACCGGTTGGTTGTTTGCTAAATCTGGACCAATGAAAATACCGATAGTATTTTTGACAAGATTTCTCAAGTAATTTCCGTCTTTTAAAGAATCTACTTTCAAGGTGACTCTTCATCTCCTGACTTTGGTATAGAGGTGAACCGAGACTCTTCATCTTCTGCAAGAACACCAATACAACACAAGATATGTAATAATACAACGTTATCCATGTTATAAACACAAAGAGCAGTCATATAGCTGTAGCATTGGTCATGGCGGCGTTAAACAAAATGTATAAAAAGAACAATTATCAAACTATTCTTACTCATTATTATTCTGTCGTGTAGCTAGAGTAATGACAATGACACTAACAATTGCGTTTTGTGCAGATTATGAGACCTGTGAAGATCCGAGTGGGAATTGGTCTTCAGCAACCCATGCTTGTCGTGAGAGGCGACTAATGGGATCGGATGGATCAGGCTCACTGAACTATATTATAGCTGGAATATTGCTGAGTGCTGCATAAAGCAACAAACAAACAATATCAAAATGGTGACCACTTTTAAAATTAGCCCACACACCAACTGATTGTTGTAGCGGCCGACAAAAACGAGTCGATCAAATCAAGCACAAAATGCAGTAACACCACCCACCTCAACGTTACCCGGCGACGGTACCACCAGAGCCAATTGTTGTTTTGGCTGGACTGAAAATACAATAGTTTTGTGAAATCGCCTGTCTCACATTTCGTTTGCAATGAGAAATAGTTTCAAACTTAAATTGCCGATAAACAATTTAAAAAATGCATGCATAGGGGGATGTTTGATCTGAAGACGGCATTATGACATAAACATATTAGTTAGATTGATGACCCACAGTATGAATGCATTTGTGAAAATATGGAGCAAAGGGTAAAACTATGCTTACGTCATTGAGGTACGACAGGAAATATGTGCATCATGCTGTTTTTCAGATGACAAATAAATATAATATGATATGTAAATGTTTCATGTGATGGCAGAACCATCTGAGTTCTCAGTTTATACCCGTGAAGATCTGGGTTAGAATTAGCAGCCCATGCTTTTCGTAAGAGGAAACTAACGGGATCGGGTGGTCAGGCTCGCTGACTTGGTTTACACATGTCATCGTATCTAAATTGCGTAGATCGATGCCCATGCTGTTGATCACTGGATTGTCTCGCCCATACTCGTTTATCTACAGACCGCCGCCATAAAGCTGACACATTGCTGAGTGCGGCGTTAAACAACAAGATTTTACAGAGTATTACAACCGAACACAGCAAGGAGCAAGACACGGATGTATGTTAAGCCCGCTACTTTTTACATTATACATCAAGGAATTCATAACAGAAATGACAACATCAGATTGTAAAGGTATTCATATTCCCGAAGATGTTCCAAATGTGTGTTCTCTCATATATGCGGATGACGTGGCTAACTCAACAGATACAGTAGAGAGACTACAAAAACATAATGATGTTCTTAGTATCTTTTGCGGCAAATGGGGACTTTCTCCCAACATAAATAAATCGCAGATTGTAGTTTTTCGAAACGGAGGATACCTGCGCAACTACGAAAGATGGTTTTATAAAGGATCGCACATTAAGGTTGTGCCATACTATAAATATCTCGGACTGATCTTTACACCCAAAACAGTATGGGCTCGAGCAACAACAACTTTAGTTCAGCAAGCCGAGAAAGTGTGTCAGATGATTTACAAACTACATTATATGTGTGGTGGACTGCCGATCAATGTAGCTGCAAACATAATCGGCATCGACATAATCTGCTCATGATATTGTCGCAGTTGTAAAATCGACTCTGTTTTTGGCAGATATTTCTCATGAATGTGGAAAACAGACCTATATGAGTGAGTGGGTGAATGATCGAGTAGTGGTTTAACGCCGCTTTTAGCAATATTCCAGCAATATCACGGCGGGGGACACCAGAAATGGGCTTTACACATTGTACCTATGTGGGGAATCGAACCCGGGTCTTCGGCGTGACGAGTGAACGCTTTTATCACTAGGCTACCCCACCACCCCAGACAGCAAGAGAGGGGGCAGGAGAAATTAGAATTAAAAAAGAAAACTTTGTTTCACTAATTGTGTAATCTATTTTATAGCATTTTATTGTTTACCACATTCAAATTAATTTCCGACGTACATGGAGTCGTTTTGGAAACATCCACGTTGCTGAAGAGAGATCAATGACGTGTCTGTGTTTTTATGAGTATGTAACGATAGCGTGACAGCGAACGATTTAACCATTAGGCTACCCCACCGCCCGACACCTATATAATGTTATGTGGATTGGTAAATGTAAACCGTACATCATGGGCTTGAAAAGTTAAACAGATATTCAAGACTCAAGATTTCAAGATTCTTCATTCAAAGGCTTCCAGCGCAGAGTACAGAGTACAGAGTACAGAGTACAGAGTACATTTATAATGGTTCAGTTTCCCATCACTACAATTAATTGAGCTTTGATGAAATTGTCTGTTGTCACCCTTAGCTGTCAACATAAAGCTGTCCGATTTGTGTGTACTTTAGAATATACACTGCTAAAGATTCTGACATAGTGTTATCTGTCATAACTAATAATAAATATTTGGTAAAAACTTGTTTCTCAACTTGTTATACAAATGACATGAAGTAATAAAGTGCTGAGGTTCTGACATAGTATTATCTGTCATAACTTTCTTAAGTTTGTCTACGTTACATGCATTACTTGTACAAATATTTGGTACGACTTGTTTCTCAACTTGTTATACAAATGACATAAAGTGGTTAAGTGCACTTCTTCTTCAACTGCAGATACATTCAAATTCGAGTCACAATGTATATATCATTAACAATTATAATGATTAAGTTTCCCATCACCAAAAGTATATGAAGCAGTCATAAAATTGTCAGTTGTCTCCCTTAGCTGTTAACATTCAGCTGTTTGATTTGTGTGCACTCAAGAATATACAGTGCTAAAGATTCTAACATAGTCATATCTGATGTAACATTCTTAAACTTGTCTACATTACATAAATAAATTTAAATTTATACCGATGTTATTTCAAAATGGATTTGGATACGCATGGATGATGCAAGACTTCGGCAATAGAACACTCTTCCTATCAGCAATAACGACGAGTCGACGTAGGTAATAAACAATGTCAAGCAGACATTAAAACAACTCTAAAATATCTTCATATTCTACCTACAAACAGTTTTGAATGTCGAACAATATAAAGTCATATCAACTTAAGAATATACCGTCAAGCTTTATCAAGATTTAGATGCGGATGCCACAGCTTAAGGATTGAAATTGGACGAAGAATCGGAATAGATGAAGAAAGCAGATTATGTACAGCCGCTAGATGTAGTAGAGAATGAATTCCATTTCTTACTTGTATGCAGAGCCTTTTTAAATCTACGAGAAGGATATATTCACACTGCATACCATGAACATCCTGTTGCAGCATTTGTGAAAATCTTATCAATTCCACATGTTCTAAAACATTGTTAAATTTAAGTAAGTATGTATTTTTACCATTTAAACTATACCCATCGTTCATCAATTATATTATTATCATGTATTGTGTATGGCTATAGTACTACCTTGTGAAATTTATTTATCATTTATATACTGAACCACAAAAGAAACGTCGCTTTTCAAAACCAAATGCAAAAAAGATTTCTTGCAAGGTGGTATTTTTTGTTATGATTTAACCGTTTTCTTAACATGTTTTTTAATCCAAATGGACAGTTATTACCAACATCTTACCAACGTTATCGACAATGGAGAAACTGTGCTGTTATCTCATGAAAGTCGAAATCTCATGAAAGTTTCGACAGTCCATGGCAGAGAGAGAGAGAGAGAGAGATTACCAACATCTTACCAACGTTATCGACAATGGAGAAACTGTGCTGTTATCTCATGAAAGTCGATATCTCATGAAAGTTTCGACAGTCCATGGCAGAGAGAGAGAGAGAAAGAGAGAGAGAGAGGGAGGAGAGAGAGACAGACAGACAGACAGACAGACAGACAGACAGAGAGAGAGAGAAAGAGAGAGGGGAGGGAGAGAGAGAGAGAGAGAGAGAGAGAGAGAGAGAGAGAGAGAGAGAGAGAGAGAGAGAGAGAGAGGAGAAGGGGTGAAGGCGTGGGGAACTGTTTTCCAATGATTTTATTGTTGAAAGAGACTAGTGGGGTGGTCCAATCATCATAGGGTGGGGTGCAACCGGTCTGAAACAGTTAGTTGACACCGTGGTGTTCCAGTGCTCACTGTCAGAGCAACATTGGAATTCCTATGACAACATGGCATCCAAACCCACCAATAGCCTGCACTCCGTCCGAAATTAAGTCCAGTAGAAGACCTTTGGAACGAGATTCAAAGAAGACTGAATGACCTCCAACCAAGGCCGACAACTGCGACTGGACTCGATCAGGCATTTCGCAGAGTATGGACCCAAGTGCCTATGGCCTTCATCGACCGGCTAATTCATTCCATGTACAGACGAGGCACCGATTTCATCGATCCCCATAAAGGCCACAAACGATACTGACTTTGGGGTATCTTAATGGTACCATTTTTTGGTGATTTTGTTTGTGTGAACTCTAGATGTGATTCCCGAAAATGTGTTTACCATAATTGTCAAGTTTGAACTCAGTCCTCCGTTTTGATTGTTAATTAGAGTGAATTAAAAAGTGTGCTTTAAGAAACCCCTATCCGTGCGACATTTCTTTTGCGGATCAGTTTATATTGATGAAAACAAAATATGTATGTGTGCTGTTAATGAAGGTCGTATGGACCTGTTGCCTTTGACTTGAGTGAGTGAGTATGGTTTTACGCCGCTTTTAGCAATATTCCAGCAATATCACGGCGGGGGACACCAGAAATGGGCTTCACACATTGTACCAATGTGGGGAATCGAACCCGGGTCTTCGGCGTGACGAGCGAACGCTTTAACCACTAGGCTACCCACCGCCCCCCTTTGACTTGAATGAATAACAACTCATATAAATATATACCGACAATCAAATAGTTGGTTAAGATCATCAAGAGTTCAGGGCCCTTGTCTGAATAACATGTAGCCCAGATAGGGAGTTGGACGGCTCCCATGAAGCCCTGACATTGAAGCTTTCTGCATTACCCAGTGTCAGAAGGACCGTGTTCATGGCAGCAACTCTGGTTCTCTCCCAATGCCAGTCAAGCTACTGAGATGTACCAAACCTGAGACATCATGAACAATGGGGAGTCGGACATCTTGGTACGTGGGATGCACGAGTGACATTTTGAAAGCAAGATATGCATATTTAAATATTGTCCCAACACATTAGTGTCAAAGAGGACAGGGCATTCAGTGATATATATTTGGGGGATTGGTTTTATAAAACAAAGACAACAACGTTAGGCTCACTGGCTTGGAAACGTCTGGGGCTGTATGCGGACCTATTTCAAAGAATTGTATAATTATCTATTTTGCCATGACGCCTTCCACATACTATATAGTCACGCAGGGGTAGCCTAGTGGTTAAAGCGACGGGTCGTCACGCCGAAGACCCTGATTCGATTCCCCATATGGGCATAATGTATGAAGCCCATTTCTGGCGTCCGCCGTGATATTGCTGGAATATTGCTAAAAGCGGCGTTAAACCATATTTACTCACTCACTCACTCTCCACCTACTATAGATTCTTTGAGTCAAACACATGGAGAAAACGGTAACGAAACGAACGAATTAGCCATCATGCTGCTTACAATACTGTGTTTGTGCCAATGACAAGGTGTTACACAGTTTCATTACCTTCATTTCCTAATCCACTCTCCCGACCAGCAGTACAGACCCATCAACAAAATCAACATTTACATTAAGAATATGGTTTATTATGCTTGGTCCGTTTTGAGAAGACCGTGGAATGTCTTGTTTTCAGCATGAAACTTTACAAGAGAATCATCAGACAGATATATGTGTGGCTCCAACTAACCAAACCATGACCTCCTATAATTAATTGATTATATATGCGATCGGGGAAAGGGCGAAGGCAGTGGGATGGAGTTTCAATCAACAACATCAAAGGAATACGAAAGGACGAACATTATTACGATGATTTAGCACTGACGCGCTCCGAGATTTTATTCTCCTTATTATTACTATTATTATTATTATTATTATTGACATTCTGGAGACAGCCATGGTACCTCAAACGGAATTTGGGGCGGTGAGGTAGCCTAGTGGTTAAAGCGTTCGCTCGTCACACTGAAGACCCGGGTTCGATTCCCCACATGAGTACAATGTGTGAAGTCCATTTCTGGTGTCCCCCGCAGTGGTTTTGCTGGAATATTTCTAAAAGCGGCGTCAACTAAACTCACTCTATCAAACGGAATTTAACTTATTTTGTAAAGTCGCATGCTGTCAAGTTTATAAACCTCGTAGATTTGTTTAAATATTAAGAATCTATTACTTACACTATGGACTACCACGAATAAACTTCCTGTTATCCTATGAAAGTCTTGTGATTCTGGTGACCTGTTTATAGTGGTTTTATTGAGCGTATGCACATGCAACATGTTGTATTGATTTAGGACACATTCACATAAGTTATTACATCACAGATGAATATTTATCCCAATAACTGCTGACATTTGCATATTGCCTTATAAACACAAAGAGCCACGCACACAGACACAGACACACTCACATCAAGCATAAAAGCATACGTTTTTGTAAATAGCGATCAACGGATGGATGAGAGAATAATCAAGGTCATCATAAAACCTTGTTCTAAAGCATTGATTTCGCAAATGCGTGTTTCGATCCATGTGTGTCAGTATGCGAGATATGTATTCAAACACAAAGTCAAATAGAAACTACTTACTGTCTCCGTAAACTACTAAAATAGGAATCAACGTACTTTGCTCTGACCGGATTGTGTCTACTTGACAAGAATGTATCCTCAACATCATATCTGCCAAAAAATGTACAAACACCAAGGACACGTACCTTGTATCCAGAACCAATATGAACATAGCAGTACCCCACAGACAAGAGCAACAAAAACAGCCATTAACAGTCGTGCCATGACGTTTAGTGCGTGCAGCGTCCTCAGAGAGCGCCAGCTGTGTGTACGTATTGATCAGCAGAGTGGTACGTATGTTGCGACCTTAAATGTAGAATGGTCTTAAGTGTAGAATAGTCATGAATAATCATCAGTGGGCGGAGATTCTATGACCACTTCACACGTGTTTCCCGCACTACTTCTCACTTAACACGGAAGTGCCTCTGCTTCTGCTGAGTCGTGTCAGGTTGAATAACGTGCAACGAGGGTACATTTCTTGCTGAACAACATAACATACGTAATCCAATCCGCTTGAAAAGCAATCACGAAATATTACGGTTAATAGTTGACAAGGATAGTTCCATGTGCTCTAGGGCTGGATATTACCCTGAATCTCATATTGCCATATACTGCAATACGTTTAGAGATATTGCACTATATATTGTGACATATTGACTGGAAGGTTTCTGCCCTGGTGTGTACATAATAAATTCGCAATAGCTCTCTGTGTGCGACATCATCTTCTTGGTTACTGTTACACCATAGTTTCAGGCGCCCGGTCTCCATTGTGTATGGCTGTATGCTAATGGTTTACAAATCAATAAAATGATACAGAGCCTGAATGTGGAATGTTTAATAATTGAAGTATTGCAACAACAAAAACTGTGAACATAATGATGAAGGTAAAAGTATAACATATTTTCATGGTCAGTGTTGTTTGCTTCAACAGAATGCACTTCAATGCAGTATGTAATTATTGTTACTGTATGTCTGTGATTCAACTCCAGTGTAAACATGTGTCAACATAAACTATCGCAAAATGAAACAAAAACATGATTTAGGTGAACTACCTGAACTTAAAATCTCATGTGACCTCCAGTAACTAAGATCCTTGACAAGAATGTCATCATACAGTCCTACATTTTTTTTAAGACTTATGCCTTTATGATAAATTGATAACATATGTTCCATTATGAAACATTCAAAAATAACAAAATAATGTGAATTGTGAATCGGTCAGCAAGAGCCAGGGTTTCTACTAATAAGTCCAAATGAAAAAATGGTCCATTTGAGGCCACATGATTCCTCCCAAATGTCACATATGACACCATTCAAGCCCACAAAACTTACAGCATTTGGTAGAATATTTGGCACGTTTGGAGCCACTTTATAAAGATACTTCCACTTGAAACCAACAGAAATATAAGTGACTTAGTATATTTGGCACTTTAAGAACACATTTTGCTGCTATGGCAATCAAGGGCACATAATTCAAAGGGAGCTAACTCTGGATGACTCAATATATTTCAGAATCTGAACCAAATCGCGATAATCGTATCGCGAGATACTGTACCGGTAATATTGCACAGACGTAATGTGTTCTAATACTTACAAAATGAAGACAAACTATTCCGGTTATGAGGGACAATACTTACCAGAACAGTAGTGACATATATTGCAAATTGCACGTTTTAGGTAATATGACGTTAACGTTGAGTTGTCTGTACCATCATAGCTCCCTAGCTTCGTGTTTGATGCTCCATCACATTTGTGCGACCAATACTTGATCATATGACTCTTCATGGAATATTTGATCATGATGAAGTTGAGCTAGGGAAAGCTTCATCCGTTGACACCAGCAATTTTCCATCTCTCCAATACCTTCGCACTGACACAATGGAAGCGTTTGAATTTCTCACTTCACAACCATATGTGCAGGGTTAAAATCCTATTCATTACCTTGCTGTGATTACCACCAACAAGGGTGGCTCGCTGGGGACCATGCTTTGTCTGGGTAGTAGCATAAGTTACTAGCTAATAAATACTAACAGAGACGATCATTTGCACTATGATCAAAAGTTTGTATGTTCGAAGAAGTGTTCCACATGCAGACAGTATAGGATGCAATGCTGCATTGCCGTAACACCCATTTGTATCAACTATTGGGCTTACTGCATCACATTGCCACGGAGGTCGTGTAGCTTCTCCCTCTGTTGTAGACGTGTAGCCGTGTCATGGGTATAATACTGTCAACTCATCCACCCCAACTCACCGATCAAACAATGGAAGGGTAAGGATGGGCCCTCAGCAGCCCATGCTTGTCGTAAGAGCCGACCTGTGAAGATCTGTGTTAGAATTGGTCTTCAGTAAACCATGCTTGTCGTAAAAATCGAATAACGTGCTCAGGTGGTCAGACTCGATGACTTGGTTGGGACATTCCATCGTATCCCAATTGCGTAGAACGATGCTAATGTTGTTGATCACTGGATTGTCTGGTGAAGACCCGATTATAGACGGACCACCGCCATATAGCTGGAGTATTGCCGTGTGCAGCGTTAAACAACAAACCAACCAAGGACGATGTCCTGTGTCCCCAGTCAAGGAAAACAAACAGTCATACGAACTAGTTAGGTTTGAACACAGTATGTTGACGTGATGTTGAGATATACTCTCGTCTCGAATAAGCAAGAGTTAATTGTTAATGTCTGGACGCTGAACACTGTAAATGACATTGCCAGCTCACAGTTTGGAATGTTAGGATTCATAGTTAAATGATATGCTGTTTTTAAAAACATTCGTATGATGTTGTCATAGGAGGACAGATTCACTGGGCTGATGTACTTATGCTTTCTATGTGCCATTTCTATCATTGAAACTGGTGTTGGTTGCTCTCTCTTTTCAGGTATTCGTTTTCTATTAGGTTAGATTTGTATCCTTTTCTTGAATTCTGTTTCAGTTTTCCTTCTTTTAAGAGACACGTATTTGGCTTTACATTCGTTTTGGAAACTCAGAAGACATAGCAACCTTGCCATTTTCTTATATGTTTGTTTGAATTATTTCAATTAATACTTTATTCTTTGACTTAAGTTTACACCTGGCAGACAGATCAATGTCTTTGCTATGAGACAGAGATCTCGGTCCATGTGTGTCAGAAAAGTAGTATGTGAAGGAAACTTTATTAATATTCTCTTTGGTAAGAAAGAGGGAGATCTCGATTCACGTCTATGTGAAGGAAAGAGGCCTCGGCGTCAATTGAAACTTGTTGGTTATTAATTTCATAACAGACTTATCTGATACCTCGTTCAACTATTTAATCTTCGAACAGAATCAGAGGCGGTGGGTAGCCAAATGGTTAAAGCATCCACTCGTCACTCGTCAAGTTCCGGGTTCAATTCCCCAGATGGCTGCAATGTGTGAAGCCCATTTCCACTACCATAACCTCGTTCTTATTTACCGTTCTGTCTCCCGCCGTGATATTGCTGGAATATTGCTAAAAGCGGCGTAAAACTAAACTTTCTCACTCACTCACATCCTAGATAAAGAGTCCCTTAAAATAAACAGTAACTGTTAACCGAATATAGTTAACACACTTTACAGGGGTATACAGGCATTCAGTGCTTTTGACCTTTACATTTCTGGCGCCATTTCCAGTTTTATACATTCGATCGAACAGGTGCTTGTTTGTTTTAATATCAATAACGCGGCTTGGAAGAATATTTAAAATTAGCTTGTGTAATACTGATTTGGCATTTCGACTAGGTTTCGGTGACCTCTATCATCCTGAGTCTCCACACAAAGCACGGGATACATTCAACGTTTAGATACTAGGCGAGTTAGCCAGGTGAAACAGAATAATGATCCATGAAAGCTGACTTTGAATGCTGATACTGAGAATCGGTCATTTAGAGAGGGAAGCCTTGATGGGTTTCATAATCCTCTGTATGCTCTGGCCCAAAATCCGCGAAGATCGATTTAAAGTATCAGCAGTTGTTTACATCTAATTTGATAGAAACGTGATAAGGCAAGGCATGTACACAATGCCAGAGACTGAATCAGTGTTGTCATAACAAACCTACAATTAGTTGGCTTTCTGAGTGAGTTTAGTTTTACGCCGCACTCAACAATATTCCAGCTATAAGGCGTCGGTCTGTAAATAATCGAGTCTGGACCAGACAATCCAGTGATCAACAGCATGAGCATCGATCTGCGCAATTGTGAACCGATGACATTCAAATACAAGTGGTTCTATCTGACGTACTCACTCACTTTTAGCTGGTGACCAAATAGCAATGCACGAATAAGTATTTACTCACATTTGACTTTGTTCCAAATACAAATAGTCTTATTTGACGTACTCACTCACTTTTAGCTGGTGATAAAAAAACCCAATGGTGCACGAATATGTACATGTACTAACTTACATTTGGCTTTTTACCAAATGCACATTTGACGTACTCACTCCCTTTTACCAGGTGACTAAACACAAATGGTGCTAGAATACGTACTTACTTTTATTTGGCTGTTTACTAAATACAAATGGTGCTATTTGACGTACTCACACACTTTAAGCACATCGCCCATTAATACTGGTACTATCTTGTATACTCACTGACATTCAGCTCATGACAAAATACAAATGTTGATACGTGACGTACTTACATTTAGCTGATCACCATGTAAAATGCCATTTGACGGACCCACTCACTGATTGCTGAACATCAAATACGTATGAGCCATCTGACGTAATCACTCAGTGTCCTGTTGCTGTTCACCAAATACAAATGGTGCCATGTGACGTGCCCACTTTTAGATGATCACTATATATAAATGATGCTATTTGACGTATTCACCTTTAGCCGGTAACTATATATAAATCATACTATTTGACGTACTCACCTTTAGCCGATCACTGTATATAAATGATGCTATTTGACGTACTCACTTTTAGCTGATCACTATATATACATGATGCTATTTGACGTACTCACATTTAGCTGATCACTGTATATAAATGATGCTATTTGACGTACTCACTTTTAGCTGATCACTGTATATAAATGATGCTATTTGACGTACTCACTTTAGCTGATCACTGTATATAAATGATGCTATTTGACGTACTCACTTTTAGCTGATCACTATATAAATGATGCTATTTGTACTCACTTTCACTATATATAAATGATGCTTTGACGTACTCACTGATCACTATATATACATGATGCTATTTGAGGTACTCACTTTTAGCTGATCACTATATATAAATGATGCTATTTGACGTACTCACTTTTAGCTGATCACTGTATATAAATGATGCTATTTGACATACTCACTTTAAGCTGATCACTATATATAAATGATGCTATTTGACGTACTCACTTTGAACTGATCACTATATATACATGACGCTATTTGAGGTACTCACTTTTAGCTGATCACTATATATAAATGATGCTATTTGACGTACTCACTTTTAGCTGATCACTATTTATAAATGATGCTATTTGACGTACTCACTTTGAACTGATCACTATATATGCATGATGCTATTTGAGGTACTCACTTTTAACTGATCACTATATATAAATGATGCTCTTTGACGTACTCACTTTTAGCTGATCACTGTATATACATGACGCTATTTGAGGTACTCACGTTTAGCTGATCACTATATATAAATCATGCTATTTGACGTACTCACTTTTAGCTGATCACTATATATAAATGATGCTATTTGACGTACTCACTTTTAGCTGATCACTATATATGCATGATGCTATTTGAGGTACTCACTTTTAGCTGATCACTATATATAAATCATGCTATTTGACGTACTCACTGTTAGCTGATCTCTATATATAAATCATGCTATTTGACGTACTCACTTTTAGCTGATCTCTATATATAAATCATGCTATTTGACGTACTCACTTTTAGCTGAACACTATATATAAATCATACTATTTGACGTACTCACCCACGTTCATGCGATGCCCAAGAAGAAATAGCGCTCACTTTCAGCTGTTCATTTATCATACTTGATGGTTCATACATATTGGTGGTGAAGCCATTAGCTCATTTGGGCAAACTCGCAATTCAGTAAACACCGAAGGAAAATTCTCTGCGTGTGTCTAGGTAAATTATGCAAACATAAGAGACACAATATTACCATCATCACAACTTATGCCTCTTAAAGCAGAGTCGGGTGTTAATTGAGACCAAAACAACGGAATGTTTTGATGAACCTTTATCAAATAATGATGATATTGGGAGAGCGGATCCTGCCCCACACTCGTGTAAAACATGTACAAAGGCAAGTCCCAACACACCAAGGACAAACAAATTTAAAATGTCTATTGATGACACTATTTTGGACATGACTTACGCATACATATGCATACGCATTGATCTGGGCATTGACTACTGATGCGTCTTTGAATCAACATTAAGCAAACGTTGGAAGGTGTCCTTTTAAGTCATCGTAGAAAGTGGACACCCAAGCACCAACAGCTTGAGTTCAAAATACATTGCGGCAATATTCCGGATAATTGATTATGACTTTGGACCAGACGATCCAGTGATTAACCTATCTACACATGTATGGCATTATGGCCTTCGATCCCGTTCGTAGCCTCTTGCGACAAGCAACGGTTGTTGTTCCAAGACATCACATCGTCCCATATCCCATATCCATGAAGACCCCGCCACGGCTGAGAGATAAAATCAAAGATCACACAACCACCTTCTAAAGCTCATCCTCCTCAAAAGACTCCAACCATCAATCAACCGCGATCAGGACTAAAACACACCTTCAGATTAACATCAGATCATCCCAACCTGTAGTTATTCTTTTGTTAATATTTTTGTGAAGGCCACTGGCGTCACCTGGTATATAACCTTTAACGTCAGGTCAACCGCATTGTGTATGTTTGTTTGTTGTTTATTTGTTTAGTAGGGGCGGTGGGGTAGCCTAGTGGTTAAAGCGTTGGCTCGTCACGCCGAAGACCCGGGTTCGAATCCCCACATGGGTACAATGTGTGAAGCCCATTTCTGGTGTCCCCCGCCGTGATGTTGCTGGAATATTGCTAAAAGCGGCGTAAAACCAAACTCACTCACTATTTGTTTAGATGGTTGTTTATTTGTTGAACAGCGTTCAAGCTATATGACGGCGGTCTGTAAATAAACGAGTCTGGTCCCGACAATCCAGTAATAAACATCAAGAGCATCAAGACGATGACATGTGTCAACCAAGTCAGATAGCATGACAACCCGATCCCGCTAGTCTCTTACTAGTTAGTCTCAAGCATTGGTTGCTGAAGACCAATTCTAACCCTGATCTTCACTGGTTTATTGAGCATGTACCTTGCTCCCCTGGGCGTCTGCAAACACACCCCAATCCACTCAACAATGTACCCACTTCATCATACTTATTTATATGCTTCTCAACCATACTCAATACATTCCGTTCTCGATAACGTCTTAGAAAACTTACACCTCTCCTAATTGTAAGAAAGACATTTTCATCCGTATGATGTTGTGGTTTCTTTGTACTCCAACTTCGGAATGCGTCTCAAAGACGTTGCCAAAGTCTAGTCTCCATTTGAAAGAGGGGCGGTGGGGGTAGCCTAGTGGTTAAAGCTTTGGCTCGTCACGCCGAAGACCCGGGTTCGATTCCCCACATGGGTACATTGTGTGAAGCCCATTTCTGGTGTCCCCCGCCGTGATGTTGCTGGAATATTGCTAAAAGCGGCGTAAAACCAAACTCAGTCAGTCAGTCCATTTGAAAGTGAATGGATATGCCAGTCTTTTCACAAATGATATGTGTCGAGCCCTATTTTGATAGCTGCTGTACATCACTCACCATCCTGAATCTTATACATATTGTGCTTCGAACGTCTGGGTTTGATTGCTGAATCGCTCTGTTTATGATTCAAGATTGGTCAGCACCAATTCGTGCACAAAGAGCTCCTAAATTGAAATGTGCACGATTCAAAGGAGGTTAAGCTCAAGTCACAAACTGAACAATTGCAAACTGATTGAAACTTACAAAACAACGTTTATTAAAACCGAATATTACATGTATATTCTTGTAGTACCATTACATATATACTGGTATATCAAAACAGTGCTGCATGATTGCTTAGGGTTGTTGGTTACCCCAGTGCTTCGATCGTTCGCTCGATTACAAAGAGAACTGTATTTCAATACGTGAACAGAACTAGTTATATTTGTTACCAAAGAAACTGAATATATTTTCTGAGTTCTGATATTCACCAAAGACGAAGTCCGGGTTAGACTCGTAATCAAACATCACAAACTCTGGTTCAAAGTATTTCCTCAATTTGATCTTGACCTCGTGAGACAATGACCCATATGCTTCTTTCAGTGCCAAGTCCTTTCCTCTGGACAGTATGTCAGGATTGGATCTAGCATTGGCTTCCGTTGCCAGTGCAACGAATTTGTCACAGGTAATCTCCACATCATTTGCTTCATCGGGAAACGGAATCTCCATGGAAATCATCCCTCGTATCTGCCATCTTTTCCATGTAACGTGAAGGCCTTGATTCAAGGTCACTCCGCAAGATTCCATCGCATCTCGCCTGTGTGTGAATAAGGAGCAGGCATTTCTGAAGAACATTTGATTCACCCAACGGACGCCTTCATTCAGTAATGTGTGTTTCGTTCCGTTCAGATCCAGCATTCCCATATCATCAGCAAAATATACCATGTCGTCTAATAACGTTTCCATTTTCCCGATGTAGTCATACTGAATCTCACATATACCACAGTGGCGATGGATAGGGGCAAAATGGCCATCAATTTGAAGATCTCTGTCGTCACTGTCAAGGATGTAACTCACAAACTCGTCAAATCTGACATCATCCCCACACGTTTGCTCAACAGCATTAGGCATGTCTCTGTACCGTGTAGACATTACGATTTCACGTCCAATGATTTTCCAAAACGCTGGATTAACTGCAAAAAATTTATCAACGTAACCAGACAGCAATCTTGTATATGGATTCCTTACAAATATGTACTTCCGGGTAGACAATATCTGCAGTGGTGATAGTTTACGTCTTGTTGCAGATTGTGTTGTCAGATTAGAACGAGACTTGTGAGCCAGGTCCTTCTCAAAAACAGCCAACATTCGTATCCAGAACGTACTGCCAACCTTCTCAATGGGACATATTGAACTATCCACTTTGGCTGTGACTTTCAAATCAGGTGGTATTTTTGGAAAACCCATCTGGAAGTACTGAATATTCTTCTGACATGATTTCTGTAGTAATTCTCGCCTTTGGGCAAATCTGTGTTCAAGACTTATTTTCATTTCGTGGCTCTGATGCAAAGCTGAACTGAGGTCTCTCGGTGTCTACAATACAAAAGATAGAATTGTGATATGTTGTACCTGCATGCTCATTGCCCCCTTGTGAGTGAGTGAGTTAGTTTTTAGCAATATTCCAACAGTGTCACGGCGAGGAACACCAGAAATGGGCTTCACTCATCGTATCCATGTTGGGAATCGAACCCGGGCCTTCGGTGTGATGAGCGAACCCTATAACCACAAGGCTACCCCACCGCCCCTTGGCCCCTGTGACTATACTGAGGAATCTACGGTGTGTGTTCTCTGGACCTGAACGGTGTGTCCAGTTCATGCCTGGACTCTGAACCTGACCTGACATGTGCGTGTCCAGTTCATGACCTTGAGACTTTCCAGGTATGCCTTGAGACTTTGGGTAAGATAATGTAAGCACACTTAGGCTCAGTATTATTCGTTACAGTGCTTATATTGATTATAGCAGTGTAACAAATAATACTGAGCCTAAGTTTACTTAGACTGTGGGTAAGAATACATAGTTGCCCTGCAATGTATACTTGAATCAAGTGATCACGCTTTGATTTAGGTGATAATGTGAAAAAGAGCCAAGACAGTATACAACATAGATATTTTACAGGTAGGTGTGATATAAACAGAATATATCTGATCGGGGACGACTCTGGACTTAAATGAGTGAGGGTGGGATGGTCAATATGCAAGTTGAAAATATTTGGACGTCGTAACATAGGGGAATCTATTCTCACCTGCTATGTGAAGATGCATGACTTTGCCATACGAAACATTGGTTACATACAGAATACGGGGGAGGTGGGGTAGCATAGTTGGTAAAGCGTTCGATCGTCACGGGTTCGATTCCCCACATGGGTACAATGTGTGAAGCCCATTTCTGGTGTCCCCCGCCGTGATATTGCTGGAATATTGCTAAAGCGGCGTAAAACTAAATTCACTCACTCAGAATACGGCAGATCAGACCATTACACTCGTTCGGCTGTATTCTACAAACTTTATCAACAGGTTAGTTTCTGTTTCATCACTTTCAATGTGCTTTAATGAATATGCGTCCACATATTCTTCCTTAGCTTACATAGGGCAATATGGTTTCTATAGTTTGCTACAATATATCTCAGTCTTTTGTCTAACGTGTATATCTTTTCGCAGATATCACAACAACATAATTAGTACCTTTCATACAAAATGTTGTTCTTCACGTACGTATGTCATTACAAATTGTTTCATTCGATTTTCAGTTATAATGAAATGAAATAACTCTTTCCTTTCCCTGTGAATATATAACCTATCGTACTGTATGTGTGCATATCTGTTTGGACAACTTCTGTGTAGTTAGTATTGCCAGCTCCTTTCCTGGTTTTAACTATCATACCTTGACAACACCGGGTGTCCTATTCGGCAGAGACTCCAGTTTGGGGGTTCGATCTGAAAAATATGACCATATGATACATTTACAGAAATGATTGTGTCATTTTGAGGGAGGTTACTACTTTCGCATACTCGATCCGAATGAAAGTTCGATGGTCGAGTTGTTCATTATTTCTATATGTTACTCAATTCACATCTTTAAACATTTAGCAAAACATGTTAACCCAATAGGGTCACAATAAAAGCAGCCCAGATTTGCGGAGACGTTTTGTTATCAGTTTGTGACGTCATGAACATTGTGACGTCGTATGGTATTTTCTCAGCATTGTAAACCAAAAGTCACTCTGTTCTTTAATCTGATTGGTTGAAAAACGTGATCCAAATGGTATTCGATTCCCGGAAATTCGCTGAGTAGTAATACATACAAACATCGCTCACACCATTGTATTGTTACGTCGTCAGCTGAGATGACGAAACAGCCGGCTGATGACATTTCACTGCTGTACCCGTACTCGATGTCAATGTGTGCAGACAGTAAAACGTGTGTGGACCTTTTGGGTTATTTTTGTGTTTACAATGTCGATAAACATCATGTGTTGGCCAATTTCCAGGTGTTATTGGGTATTTGAATCAAGGGAATATTTCATTTGAAACCTTCGGGTGACGCCGTCGGTTCCAAATGAATTCCCGGGCTTCAAATACTCAATAATACCCGGAAATTGGCCAACACATGACGTTTTTCTCCTAAAAGCGGTGACGTTTTGTTATCAGTTTGTGACGTCATGAACATTGTGACGTCGTATGGTATATTCTCAGCAATGAATCACTGACTTATCGTGATTAATCGTGCTTGAGGTGTCGGGATCAAGCCCACCTGTGACCGGGTGTAAAAACATTGGAGTCAACTTTGCACACTCTTTCAGTATTGTCACAACCCCTAGTGTACAGTACACAACTGACCGCCTCCTTGGTGTAGTGTTTAGAGCGTCCGCCCGGAGTGCGGAAGATCGCGGGTTCGATCCCTGACCGCGTCATACCAAAAGACGTTAAAATATGGTACTTGTTGGTCCCTCTCTGGCGCTCGGCATTAATGGGTACAACAAGAACTGGTCGGCTCGGAGTCAGTATAATGTGTCTGAGTGGGGTATTCATGCTTCACTGCGGCATGGTATCTCAGTGGGCTAGCACTATATAAAACCAGCTTCAGTCTGGGCTAGTACAAGCAACCGCACATACACATACACACGCATGCACGTCGTCATATGGGCGAAATATTCTCAAGCACGACGTTAAACCCAATTCCACCACCACAGTACACAACTCTGTGCACTTAAACGAACCCACGAATCTGTTGGTATATAACCAGATGGTGGACACATGAATACGTGCAAGCACCTAGTTGTGGGTACAGCAACGTGCAGTAAACTTGGACAAAGTACTGTGACTATGTGTCCCAGTCTATCCAGCTGTGGATGGGTACGTCGTAAGGATGGGAAAAGCCACATTGAGTCGGCGCGCCTAGAGTTGTATGGTCCCCATGGAGTTACATGTATATATATATATATCTAATTACAAATGAAAATTGTTAATACGCACGTGTAGACATGTCGGTATGTTATGACAAACTATCATCCTATCTTTGTAGGTCACATGCATTGTCCTTTGTAACAACTGCATTATGAAACAAACGGACATGAATATATGTGCAGTAACTGACTAACTGAGTTTGGTTTTACGCCGATTTTAGCAATATTCCAGAAATATCACGGCGGGGGACACCAGAAATGGACTTCACTCATTGTACCCATGTGGGGATTCGAACCCGGGTCTTCGGCGTGACGAGCCAACGCTTTAACCACTAGGCTACCCCACCGCCCCATGTGCAGTAACACTACGATTGTTATGATGGCTGTATCATCCCGAAATAAAAGCGACAGAACCATTTTCACATTCATAAGAGATATGTGCTAAAAGCAGAGTCAAATATACAATTTCTACTATAATATGAGCACGTATTTTGAATGTTTAATACCACAGTCAGCAATAGTACATTTAAATTATTTGTGGCAGCAGTCTGTAAACCATCGAGTCGGGAGCAGACAATACATTGTTTGATATCATGATCTACGATAACAGAGCACGTGCTTATGAACCACTCAAATAGTAGATACCGGGTGTTCGCGAAAAGGTGAGCGTATCCTGCCACACCAGGGGCACCCGCCATAACATATGCAAATGCTAATCAATTGTTTACCTTAAAAATTAAGGAACATACGTTACAAGTCAAACTAGCGACTTGCATCGGACATCATTTCTGTCACTGACGCATCCAAGTTTGAAATTTCCTTCACAGGTCTACCATGAAACTTTACTTATTTCTTCAGAAGCATTTCTTTCTCAAAACGGAAATTTGCGAAATATCAAATGCTGGCCGTTTATTATTAACGCTGTTGTACAACGTTATTTACAACAACATATGTTAGGTGGAAAACTTACTCAAAGATTGTCTAATAAGATTCAGTAATATCCTCAAAACTTTTAAGTTTTGGGTCTACCGCACCACAATGCTTAAGCTTCTAATCTGTGGGGAAGGTGGTGTAGCCTAGTGGTTAAAGCGTTCGCTCGTCACGCCGAAGACCCGGGTTCGTTTCCCTACATGGCTACAATACGTGAAGCCCATTTCTGGTGTCCCCCGTCGTGAAATTGTTGGCGGGGTAAAACAAAACTCACTCACTCTTATCTGTGGACTGCATAACGTCACTGCATGTCAAAAGTATCCTAATTTTCTCTAGGGATTTCATGGTCAGTTTAACAAAATGTTTACTGGATAACTGCATATACGTGATTTCAGGTGGTTGAAGAATTTTGAGGGGCGGTGGGGTAGCCTAGTGGTTAAAGCGTTGGCTCGTCACGCCGAAGACCCGGGTTCGAATTCCCACATGGGTACAATGTGTGAAGCCCATTTCTGGTGTCCCCCGCCGTGATGTTGCTGGAATATTGCTAAAAGCGGCGTAAAACCAAAACTCAGTCAGTCAGTCAGTTGAAGAATTATGATGAACATCATGGTTATGATACAAACAGGGATACTGAATTTTATAAATACTGTTTCACTTTCATCTTCAGTAATAAAAACATCCTGTTCTCCAGTTATTTTCAAAAAACATATCAACAACTGTTATTAAAAATGTCCTATTCTCCAGTTATTTACACTTGTATTATACTTGAATAAATACATCACGTTTAATAGTTAGGTTCAAATGTGGGTCAGATAAATTTATGTAGTGTTATTGATAATAATATTTTTATGAATTGTTGAATAAATACATTATCAATACTGATTTTTGTTCCTACAGCCTAGTAGCGATGGGTCATTAAAAAGGATTAGTAATATGTTTTGAGAAGGGCACAGGAGATAGGAGCGTGTTGTTGCTATACTCTCCAGTGACTCGGGGTCAGCTCATTAATCAAATAGGGATGGACAGTGACTCAGGGTCAGTTCATTAATCAAATAGGGATGGACAGCATGGCTCAGCTAATTAGTGTATTCATTGAGTCTGTCTTATGGGAGGTCTGTCTTTGGGAGGTCTGTCTTTTGGGAGTGAACCCAGCAAACG